GATGTCAGCTCCTTAACGCTTGGGAATGTCTGGCTGCAGGGCTAGTCTGGCACCTGGTGGACCGAGTCCAACTCCCAAACCCACCAGCAGGATAGCAGCACAGTCAAGTGTATGCGCTCTAGAGTCCCTAGGTTCAAATTTGACTCCTGCCACTCAGGGCCCAGGGTCTCCTCCTCCTGCCCTTGGTTTTCTATCTGGAGAGCAGGAATCATTAAAATAATTGTTGGGCGGATTCACTGAGATGGCTGTGCACAGGGTACTGTCAGCGCCTGTTATCTCCATGGTTCCCACGCCCAGACCGCGGGCTCCCTCTGTCCTTGCCCGATGAGCAGCTCAGGGCTCAGAGGTCACAAATGCACCCCCCTCCTGCCTGCCCGGCCCTCTCTGCCCAAGGCACCCTGAGCAGGTAGCATTTATCAAATCCCCTTGTAATTATCTGCGGTGTCTGCTAGCTCCAGGGGGTGGAGGGTGGAGAAGAAAGGCTGAGTCGTCCACGCCCTAGCCCCCACCCCAGGGTATGGCCTGGTCTTGTCTCTCTCCAGGGGAGTTGCTGGCTAGAGCCAGCCTGTCCACAAGCCTCTCCAGCCCCCACCCCCTACTCCCAACCCCCCATGGGGGAGTGGATCTGTGGTTTCCCTGATGCCAAAACCACCCAGTGCTTTCCACCCGCATGCCCTGCCAGCCCTCCATCCTGGCTTCTCAGAGCCCCCACCCCCTACCATCTCATTCCTGGGCCAACTGCACCACTTCAGGCTGAACTCCGTTGTTCTCTGAGTCCTGCTTGCAACATTTTAAGGGCTGATGTCTTAGATGCCTCAGGTCAACATTCCTGCCTAAACCTGAACTAAGTAACAACCCTCCCCATACCTCCACCAACCACATTAGCTTAGCCAGCCTAGCCCCAGAGCCTCTTCCCTATCCTCACTGGTCCCCCAGTCCAGTGGCCTCACCTCCACATCACCTCCTGGCTGCACCTGACCGCAGCCCCCCTCACCTGGCAAGTCCTCCTCAGGGTCCGCAGCCCCTCCACTGTTTCCCTCAGGTAGCCCCAGTGCTGAGCATGCAAATTTGAGCACATCCCCTCTCACTAGAAACCCTTCAAAGGCCCCCCTTTGCCCTCCAGATAAATTCCTGTCTTACTAGGGCCCCAGCCCTTCCTCTGTAAGATTCACCCCATGTTCCCTGCTGAGACGTCAAGCTGGCACTCTTCCTTCAGACCCCAACCTCAAAGCAACCTCCTCCGGAAGCCCTCCCCCTCCTCCTGGTCAAGTGTCTTCCTCAGCTCCTGGAGTGCCCTGCGGCCCCATCCCAGCTCCCCACATCTGTGAGGTAGCTATTAGTTTGACTTCCTGTGTCTTAGTCTCCGCAGTATCCACAGAGCCCAAAGGTCAGCACAGAACTGACCAATGAAGGCTGTGGGCGGTTGAGTGGATTCCGCATAAAGCCACAGAAAATCAATTTGTAAAAACACTGCTGTGTGTTGGATTCTTGCTTTGTTGTGTGTAATCGTACAATAAGATGTAGGACGGCACCCTATTTTCCCCATGTTAGTTGCAGAAGCTACTGTAGCGAGTTCAATAGAGCCCCCTCCCCAAAATTCATGTCCACCCAGGAGCTCTGAATTTGACTTTATCTGGGAATAGAGTCCTTGTAGATGTCATTAGTGTGGGCCCTAAATCTGATAACCAGTGTTCTTATAAGAAGGCCATATGAAGAAAGACACACAGATACAGGTAAGAAGTTCAGGTGACAATGGAGACCTAGGTTGGCGGGCTATAGCTGGAAGGCAACGAATGCCATGGATGCCAGCAACTGCCAGAAGCTAGGAAAAACCAGAGAAAGATTCTTCCCTAGAGCTTTCAGAGAGAGCACTGCCAATGCCTTGATTTCCGACTTCTCACATATTCTCCATATGTGAGAGAATAAATTTATTATTTTAAGCCACAAAATTTGCGGTAATTTGTATGACAGCCACAGAAAACGAATACAGCTACCTACTTTGTACACAGTACAGTTACCTAGTTTGTACACTCAAAAAGGGACAGGTCCAGGGGATTCTAATCAGTTCTGAGATGAGGATCACCTGGGTGGTTCAGTCGGTTGAGGGTCAGATGCTTGATTTTGGCTCAGGTCATGATCTCTTTGGTTTGTGAGTTCCAGCCCCACACTGGGCTCAGTGCTCGGGACTCCCTCTCTCCCTCTCTCTCTGCCCCTCCCCCACTCTCTCTACATATGAATGAATGAATGAATGAATGAATGAATGAATGAATGAATAAATAAATAAATAAATAAATAGAACTTTCATCAGCCCTGAGCCTATACCTGTGACCCCCTCAAAGGAATCCCTGGCCCTGGCACAGGCTTACAACACAGCCCTGTAGAACTAGCTCCAGGAGAAACTGTTTCCATAGAGTGTCTGCTTCTTTCCTCCTACTGAGTTCCAAAACCATCCTGCATCTTTCTTTGGAGTAGCTGCCAAGAGGCTCGCTGTCACCTGGTTACTTGCTGAGATACCATGCACCTTGCTGGTACCTGGGCTTGGACTACCCCACTGAGTGGACACAGAAGAGTCCCAAAGGTGGGTCAGGCTCAGTTCCAGCCATAGCTGCAGCCCTTCCCCCCTCCCACTGGACCTTGGTTCCTTGTCACTCCAATGAGGCCACCACATGGGGTGGCAAGAGATGGAGAAGCCAAAGGTGTGGCTGTCACTGCTACTTGTCTCCTGGCAGGCCCCACTTGGGCCCAGGATGCCACCAGCAGGGCCTGGGGGTTGGCTGTGTCCCTCCCACCCAACTCTCTGGCTCCCCAACTTCCCACCTCACTGGCTGTCCAGGGAGCTCACACAAGCCACTGAAACTCCATATCAGCCCGAGGCACTGAGAGGACAACATGCTAGCACCCCCCTACTCCCCCACCCAATGGGGTCTCCACAAACACAGACCTACTGCCCAAGGCAACTGCACGGAGAGAGGCCAGCAGCCTTTACTTAAATATACATGGAGACCGGTAAGGGGGAACGATGCCCCCCTCTCCTGAGGCTAGAGCTCTGTCTCTGGGGCCTCCTGCCCAAATCAAGTTAGGCCAGGAACACTCCCTAAGAGCCAACTCAACTTAACCACCCCCACAGGAGGCAGAGGCCCAGTCACCACCTCCCTCTTTTTCTGGGAAAATGTCCTCCAGGAATCTCTCAGCCAAGAACACAGAGGGTGGGGTGGGACATGAGGGGTGGGACTAGGGGGCAGTTCTCTGCTTTCCACAGGACTCCAACTCTGGGCACCCCCCTGTGCCACTGCCTGGGTTGCCCCTCCTTGACAACCAAACTCAGCCCTCCCTCCCCACTGCCCCATAGACCCCTCCACCTTGGCTCAGCCTTCTCACGTTTGAGGGGACAATATCCAGGCCTGGCTCAGCCTCTGGAAGGATAAGGTCAGTATTTGGGAGACATCCAGCTCTGGCTCCAGCCTCGAGCATATAGAGGAGAGGGAGGGGGTTCTTACCAGGCTGCCAGTCTGGACAAGGGGTCTGAGAGGTCCCTGGAGCAATGGGGCTACTCCTTAAGTTTCTGGCCCCAACACCACCACGTCAGGTCAGCGAAAGCGTCTGGGCCCTGGAGAGAGGCAGGCCAAATGGTCATTCAGGTTTGCCAGGGAGGAAACCTATGGTGCCAACGTGGCCCCAGGACAATGCTGGCTACAGAGGCGGGGTAGTGGAGGCTGCCAGGTCTAGCTGACAGATGACAGAGGAGAAGGGGGCCCAGGATAGAAAAGCTCTAGGACCAGTCCCAATGGGGGAGCCCAAGCAGTCAACAACAGGGGCTGGGGTTCAGTGGATGGTCAAGTGACAAGGTTACTGATCTGTCCTCTGTCCTGTATCAGGGGCTCAGCTTCGGGGGACCACAGATCCCAGCACCCTGTCCCCAGACACACTCTTGGTGGGGGGGGGGGGGGGGCAATACTTAACCCAAAGGAGTTAAGGAGGAATCTGACTCAACCCTCACCATGTGCCCTCAGACGGCCAGCCCTCACCCCACACACACCCTGTCTGTGCTCACCCCTCCTGAATCTGTTCCCAGGCCCACTGTCCTCACAGGCTGGACACACACTCTTTGCTGTGGGAGTTGGGTGTCTAGAGCCCTCGTGCCCAAATGTCCCTGATCCAGGGAGTGTGAGGGCCCAGAGCTGGGAGGGGAGCCTGCAGGAGACAGCAGGCCCTCAAGTAGACCCCTAGAGCTGGGTGGGTCCCTAACCCAAACCTGATCCATAAAGGAACCAGGGCTCCCCCTCCTCACACTGCCTCCCCACCCCTGTCAAGCTGGAAGAATGAAGCCTGGAGCAGGTACAGCTGGCCTGCTGCCAACCTGGCCAGAGTTAGGCTTAGGGGTTAACCAGCACTCTTCATCCCGTTTGCCTCCCAGGCCTGGGTCAAAGGGAGCCTGCTCCACCTAACCTGCCCAGGCCTGCCCTGAGTTAGGCAGAGAAGGGCAGTAAATATTTGTCAATGCAGGAATGTCTACAAAGGTGGACAGATCAGATACTACAATTGTCCAATGGCTGAGATATTCCAGAAAGCAGGTGATGGCACTGCCTAAGGCTGGCAAGGGAATCCCCACGCCCCCTCTGAGTCCAGTGCTCTGGACCACCAAAGCAATTGCTCCAATCAGCATGGAGGCCACCGGCCAAGCGCCACCTCGTCTGGCCCCTGCTCAGTGCCTCCCCCAACGGATCCAGGCCCAGACGACAGAGCTCCAGAGCTCCAGAGCCTGGTCTAGCGGGGGCCGGGGCCTCCACTAGCCAGACCTCCCAAACCGAGGGTTTGGGAGCTCTGGGGCCCCCAGCAGCAACCCCGCACTCCTCCTCCGCTGAGGCCCCGCCCGGGAGGCTCTCAACCTCGGATCCCGCGCTACCCACCCAGTGCAGCCCCCGCCGGGCGGGGCGGGGCCGGGGGTTGGGGCCGGGGGCGGGGCGCCAACCACCGGGACTCCCTCCCGCTACCCGCCCGCAGCGCAGCGGCCATGGGGGCGCGGCTGGGCCGGCGGACCGGACCCGAGGCTGGCTTGGAAGCCGGGGCGGCGGCGGGGTGCGGGCCTGCGCCCTATGAGCGCCGGGTGCGCTGGCTCCGCGAGATCCAGTCCACGCTCCGCGAGCGGCGGCCCGAGCGTGCCCGGCAGCTGCTGCGCCTCCTGCGCCAGGCGAGAGAAGGAGCGGGCTGGCCCGGGGCTGGAGGCCGGGGAGGGGCCGGAGGCCGGGGAGGGCCGGAGCTGCAGGCTGCGGGCCTGGAAGGGGCCGGGAGGTGCTGCGGCGCTGGCTCCGGGCGCGGGAGGCAGGGCTGGCCGCGGACGGGCGCACGGGCCGGGAGGGTTCCGAGGGGACGGTACGACTGGCTGAAGGGGCTGGGAGTCCAGTCTGGGCGAGAGGGCGAGGGAGGGGAAGCAATCGGCTAGAGTGAGGACCAGTGAGGCTCCGGGGGTGGGGTGGGGGCCGTGACCGTGGAGGCGAGGGCCTCGGCTGTGTCCGCCTTTCTGGGGTTTGAGAGTTCAGTTGTGTGTTGAGGGTGCCTCTAAGCCCGGAGCTAAGAACCCAGATTCATGCCTTAGCAGGAAAGGAGTGGCGCTAGATAAGGAGTAGCAAAGGGATGGTGGGAGGGGGACGACATCTTGTATTGAGGGGCAATGGGAAGAGGGCAGCTCTCGGCTCCTCCATAGTGCGGCCTGGTGGGGATGGGGGGCACTGCAAGGACCCTGGAGAGAGGACCCTGGGAAGTGACAGCCCAGCTGGTCAGCCGGTGCAACCTCACCATGACACTATGGCAGCCCAGACAGAGCTACAACTCACATCACCCATCCTAACAGGCAGCTCACACCCTGTTAGGGCGTGAGTACATACACCTGGCATCTGTACATCACAACACCACATCTAGACAGGGTGAGAGCTGGGCTGGGGGGCAGCTCTGGTCCCACACACACCAGGTCCTTGAGCCAGCCTGGGGTGCCCTAGGAGACAAGGGTTCTGGTCCCAGCATTACCACTGGGCAAACCACTTCCCTCTCTGGCCACATCCTCAGTTTCCACAACTGCCACCACAGCTGCCCTGTACTGTAATCTGAAATTAGCCATGCAGGTGGATGATTAGAGATGGGAAACTGAGGCTTGGAGAACAGTGGTGAGCCTAGGGCAACAGAGCAAATTAGGGGACAGTCAAGGCAGGAACCTCTATTCTCCCAGCCTCACTCCTGCTGCACTGGGTTTCCTTTCTCTGGGCCCAGTGGGCTGGAAAGGTGCTGCTGGCCCTTTAAGAGGAGCTGTCCAGACCAGCAGAAGGCTGGCTGTGGCTGCAGTCTGGGGCCCTGTCTGGGTCAGCCCAGGCTCACCAGCTAGCTCTCTCTTCTAGATCCTCCCTAGCTGGCATTTGTGACTTGAATGGTGTTTAAAATGCAAACAGCAAAACAGCACCGAATCAGCTAGACCACCCAGAGGCGCAGATATTTGTCTGGAATGGCATCTGGATCCTAAAGCAACAATGACATTTTTTTTTAAGCTGGGAAACTAGCTAAGTTGCCCCCTTTTGTCTCAGAGATCAGGATTCCTAGCCCAGTGAGGGCCCTGTCCTGCCCCATAATCCACAGGGACTCTGCAGTTATGGCATTCCCATGTGGCCCAGAATCCTGTGCACAGGGGGCTTATGCACAGAACCTGTCACTCTGGCTTGAGGAGGGCCCAGGGGTCTGGAGCCCGCTCCTGGCTCTGTCTGCCCCATCAGCTTGTCAGTATGGATGCTCTGATAGGATGTTCAGGGCCACACCAGGCCTATGGGAGTAACAGGAGGAGAAACCCCAGGACTGAAGGCAGGAAGGCACGGGCAGACTGGGGGCCCAATGGTGAGGTCTCTGTGAGGGGTGGGAGAATGGAGGCTGGACAAGGAGGCTGCTGGGCTGGGGAGGGTGGGAATGCCAGGCTGCGCATGAGTCTCTAATGTCATACAACTTCGAGAGAATTTCGTCTCCACCAAAGGGGTTAAGGGTCTATCCTTGGATCTGGCTCTGGCAGCCCAAGGGTGAGACTAGATGGGCCAAGAGGCACAGGAGGAGGCTGTTAGGGAGAGAGGCCTGCACCTCCTTGAGCAGTGGGGAGGGAGGGCTAGGCAGAGAGGAGGAAGGGAAGAGGGTGGGGTGGCTCTGGGCTCCTGCCCAAGCACTGGGGAGATGGGGATGGTGACGTCCTTTACTGAGCTGGGTCATAGGAGGTGAAGCCAGCTTCAGGGCAGGAGGAGAACACACCCAATCTAAGCTGCCTCTGGGATAGCTGGCTGAAAGAGAGGTCCATCCCCATAAAAGGAATCTGGACCTGTCAGCAAACAGTTGTGGCCACAGCTCAGGAGAGCTTGGAAATAGGTAGAAGAGGCAAAGGGCCCAAAGGGAGTGCTGGAGGATAGCAGCATTTGGGGGTCATCAGAGGATCCCCCAAAGAACCCTCCAGACAAGCCCAACCCCAGAGGAGGCAGGTATCAGTACCATGTTTCGCCTCCTGGGAACCAGTCTAAGGGTTTTGGAACCTACTTATCACCTCCCTGAAGCCCTGGATGCACTGACACTCCTCATCTGAAGGGTCCACATGACCCTGGACAGTTGGGTCATCGCTACCTGGGAAGAGACTCCTGCAAGCCTCAGGGAGAGAGACAGAGGGGAATGACATGAGGGTCTAGCTTGGATGGGGGCCTGGAAAAGCGAGAGCCCAACTCCTGGCTCACTCAATTCTCCTCACCACTCACAGGACCTGGGCCTCGAGGGGACCCTCCTCACCGACATCCTCTATAGGAATGTGACCTTCCTCAATCTGGTGGACCCTATCTCCCATGACCTGCTCGTGAACCTGGCCCGTGACCTGCAGTGTCCCAAGACGGTGAGGCCAGTAGTCATGGACCTCAGGCTGGGCCGTGTGGCTGACAGGGGCCAGGAATGCCCAGGGCTGGGGGCTAGGAGCCTCAGTCCTCATTGGGCTTGCTTTGAGGCCTTAACCAGGTCAGTGTCCCTCTCTGGCACCTGATGGCAGTTTCAGTGTATTAGGCTGGCAAACAGCCGGAACATAGGTGAGCTGTGCCTTCTTACACCTGAAAAGCCGCGTGTTGGGGACACCAGCTTCCTGAGTGGCAGCACTGTGTGCCAGGACCAGAGACCCAGGTGGGACATAGAATGTTCTTTCAAATCCACTGATGGGATCAAACTCCAAGCCTCTGAATTCCTGGGGCTGGAAGAGAGCCACCCTAGGCTGGAACCCCTGTCCACATGTCCCCATTCTGTATGGATACACATGGGGATGAATGCTCACTGCTTTCCACAGCAGTGTGAACCACAAGCAAATCCTTCCTCATGTTGAATTGGTGTCTGCCACCTGCAGCCTCCATCCCCCCTCTTCCCATGCTACCATATCTGCTCCCAACCCCACTCTACATCCTACCACGAGCATTAAAGGTCCTGAGCTCCGGACACAGCCCCCAGCCCCCAGCCCTTAGGCCTAATGAATCCTTGTGCAAAACAAGACTGCCCACTGTGGGCCCTGCCAGCTCTGAACTCCCACATCTACATGCAGGCATCACCAAGGATTCTGAGGCTAGCCTAGAGCTATCATAGTGACTGTCAGGGCTTGCTGTCACTGTGTGTACACACTGTTAACAGAGGAACAGGATAAAGAATGTGCTGGGTGGTGGAGCGTGTTCAGTGCCAGCTTTGTGGAAAGCATAGCATCCCTGTTTTTCCGCCCCAAGCTAGGTCTCTACGAGGGCCCACTGAGGACTAGAAGAGAGCCAGGAGGTGGTGATGTAACACATTAACCCTCCCAGCCCTGGCAGCCCAGACCCAGGCCCCATGGGCATGGTCTAGCTTAGGAGAGCAAGAGGAAGAAGAGCATGCTGACCTGGCTTGTTCCTATTCCCTGGGGGTGGCGTCAGTGGAGCAGCGCTCCCTGCAGGGGTCTGGTCCTGCCTCCCCCTGTGGCGAGTCCCCCCGGAGCGCTGAGGGTGGGCAGGGAGCCGGCTGATAGCCCGAGACACTGGCCTTGGGCCTGAGGACAGGGAACAAGGCCCCATTGTCTAGGCATCCTCCCGCCGGGCACCGCGGGCCTCAGACCAGCCTGTCCAGCTCCCAATGGGCAGCCTCCCCTGGCTCTGTGCCGGGTCACAGCCAGGGTGGGGGGTGGGAGGAGGAGGCTAGTGGGCAGCTCAGTGATCCATGATGAATCATGTGCTGGAGCACACACTTGGATCCCGAAGGCCCAGAGGGGCATGGGAAGGGCTCGGCCTCATCCTGACAACACTGCCACTGCCTCCTTACAGGACTATGAGCTGTGGAAGTCCTCGGACAAGATCTGCCGACAGCTCATCTACCACCTCACCCCTCACTCCAAGTGGCAGCGAGGATCCAGCCTGCTCCAGATGAAGACCCAGAGCCGGTAAGGGGAACCCAGCCACAGACCTGCCCTGTGGCCCCTTAGGGTCCCTTCCTAGGCTGACCCAGAGAAGCAGCTCAGCAAGAGGCTGGTACCTGAAACCCTGCCATGTGAGCCCCTTGCCCTTGTCTGCATCACAGCTCTGGAATGCTCCCCAAGCCACACTGCACCTCTGTGTGACCTGCCTCCTACCATTTGCTCACCCCTCGATCCCTGGCCTATCAGAGGGCCTGGTCTCCACTCTGATCAAGATAACCCCAGCAGGCATCTGTGGTTCCTCACAACAGACTGTGAGGGAGACAGATTCTGGGGCATGATTCCCATTTTACAGGGAAGGAAACTGAGGTTGGGAGAGCCAAAATGGCTTGCCCAAGGCCACATTCTGCCCTCATTTTCCTACAGCTCTTTGAAAAGCCTTTGCCAGGCAGCCTGAAGCCAAGCCTGATAGACTACTCTGCCGTGGGGTCCCCTTCCCAGTCACTCCATCACCATTTTGTGGCCAGACTCAGCCTAGGGACCTGCTGCAGACATCCAGGTCTAGGGACCCAGAACCACAGCGCCGGTGCTCTCCCCTGTTTGCTCCCTGTTGCACCCCCATCCCACTCCCCCTCCTTGAGCCTGGTGGTTCATGATGAGCCCAGAGCCCGTGAGATTGTTCCCTGCCATGGTGGGTGAGGACCCTGAAGGTGATCCCACTGCCCATTTGCCTGGTGGGCCATGTTCAAGGTCTCTCTAGGAGAGAGGGGTGGGGGGGGACCCTCCTAAGTCTCATGGAACATATGTATATTTATTCCTTACAACAGTCAGGCCCTCTTTTCATCAAAGGAGAAACTGAGGCTCAGAGAGGTTCCAAGAATTGCCCATGGCCACCCACGTAGAAAGTAGCAGTTTGATCCCAGTTTGGCCTGACCGTAGGGCCCGGGCCCCACCCCCACTGAGGCCTGCCCCGACGGGTAATTGTCTGCAGCCACTAGGGATCTGCCTTGGCCATGGACTCTTGCTCAGTCCATCTTTGCCTGCTACTTTTCCACAGCCTCAAGAGCAGCCTCGAGACGACTCAGCTGGCGGGGGAGACTGTAAACCTTTCGGGGATTCCGCTGTCGGCGCGGGATGTGCAGCACATTGTGCGCTACCTGGGAAGCCAGGGAGCTGGGCTCATGGTGCTGGACCTCAGCTTCACGGGGCTGGGTGATGAGCTGTTGCGCCTGCTGCTGCCCAGCCTCTGGACGCTGCCCCGCCTCACCCAGCTCCTGCTCAACGGCAACAGGCTGACAAGGGCCAGTGCCCGCGAGCTCACTGAGGCTGTCAAGGACGCCACCAAGTTCCCCTCGCTAGCCTGGGTAGACCTGGGCAACAACGTGGACGTGGCCTCCTTGCCCCAGCCCCTGCTGGTCGGCCTGCGCCGGCGGCTGAGCCAGCGCACCTTACTCCCCACCATCTACGAGGGCCTGGACCTCGAGCCTGAGGGCAGTGCAGCTGGGGCCACCTCTGCTGCCTGCACCTGGGGCTCTGCAACTGCTGGGCCAGGGTCAGAGCCCCAGGCCTGCTGCACAAGGTGACGGGCCACCACCCTGGCTGCTGCTACCTGACTGCCAGTGGCACATGGGATGGGGGTGATGGAGGCCTTCTAGGTCCCCAGAAATCCAGTGTAAATGCTCAGCCTGGGCTTAAGGGGATGGAAGGAAAATGGATTCACTAGAGGTTAGATGGTCAGCCCAGGATGGAGTCTCAGACTTCCTTCAGCAGGAGGGCCCAGCACCTCCCACAGTAAACAGTGATGCCCCCCTCTGCCTCAGCCTTTCTGCACCATGGACCTGGGCCACTGAGTGCCAGCCTGCTTCTGGGATGAAGAGAAGGGGTGGCCTAAGACTCAGGGACACTGAGCCCCTGGAAGGGAGGGACCAAGCTTTCACAGACTTCCCCCAGGTACTGCTCCCTGGGCAGACACCAAGGTGTGGGGGTCAGGGCCATCTGTGGGCTGGGGAGTTAGGGGAGGCCTCCAGGGACCTGGCCTTCACATCTGGGTGGGGCTAGGAGAAGAACAGGCTGGGAGGGCACAGAGGGGCAAAGCTCAGAATGGAGCCCCACAGCAATCTTGTGCCTGAGCCCAGGATGCTGACCTCCCACCAGGGCCCCTTGGGCTGAGGACAAGACTGCTGACAGGAGGCAAGGTTCATCTCCCACAGGATAAGTGCTGCTCATCACCCCTAGTACCCACCCCCCAGGCTCCCTTACTTAGTCAGTACTCCATGGAGTTAGGAGATACCTTAGACCAGAGACAAAGGGCTTATAACTTGTTCCCTCCAGGCCCTGGAGGCCCACGTGCACAGTCCTCCCCTCTGGGGGACCCCAAGAAAGCATGCAGGAGCTGGAGGTGGGTGCATCCAGCAGCAGGGGACTTGGGGTGGAGCATTCCTAAGGCTGCCCCAGGGGTAGTCTGCTTCCAGCAAGGGGCTATCTTCCCTCCCCACAAGCACCATCAGGGCAGGCTCCGGATCAGAAACCTAAAGCCATGGTCACCCTCACAGCCTTGTGTGGAGAGCTGGAGTACAGCCCAACTAGGAATTGGGCAGGGCAAAGACAAGGAAGGAATTTAAACATGTATGGGGGTGTGGGAGAGGCACCTGGGTGGCTCAGTCAGTTGGGCCTCCAACTTTGGCTCAAGTCATGATCTCACGGTTCGTGGGTTCGAGCCCTGCATCAGGCTCTGTGCTGACGTCTAGCTCAGAGCCTGGAGCCTGTTTCAGATTCTGTATCTCCCTCTCTCTCTTACCCTCCCTAGTTCATGCTGTCTCTCTCTCTCTCTCTCAGAAATAAATAAAACATTAAAAAAAAATAAACATGTTGGGAGGGGTGGGAAACTGAAGCCCTGAGTGGGAAAGCCAGCAGCCTAAGTCTCCCGTGCAGAGCCAGGTCAGGTCTGGGGCAGTGAGGATCCTCAGGATGGGGAGAGACCTGGAGGCAGAGAAAAGCCTCATCGGCCAAAAAGAAGGTGGGAGTCTCCCTGGGCCCACATACCCAGACCCACCAGCTCACCCTCCTCCACAGTTGGGCACACAGGGGACCATGAGTCAGCATGGATTCCAGGCTAGCCAGATACACAACAGCCCCTTGGGCCAGAAAGGGGATGACCAAGAAGGGCAAGGATGGGGTGGTGCTGGGTTCCAGGACCAGGCAGGAGGTGGGGAGGAAAAGGAGCTCCCTCTCTACCGCTGCCTGCTCACCCCAAGGGCGAACCCCTGCCAGTCTGGCTGCTTTTGGAGGAATCCTTATCTGGAGGTGGTGGGAAGGATGTCAAGAACACCAGGTTCAGCCCAGCTCTGCTCCTGACTTACTGTTGGGACCTGGCCAGGGCCTCCTCTCTCCCTGCCTTGGTTAAATAGGGCTGCCTGTCCATAGTTCCTTCCAGCTCTCAACTCTCCAGTCTGGGGTCCTGGCCCTCTCATTCTTCCTTGTTTTAAATGGCTTGCCCATTGTGCTCTTACTCTGGAACACGGGGCTCTGGCTCCCCAGAGCAAGACAAAGCGGGAGATGAAAGGGGCCGGCAGAGAGGAGAAAGATAGGGAAGCCAGCCTTGCACTGGGCAGGCTAGTAAGTCCGTCACAGACAGGCCGCAGTGTTCTCCTTGCTGGAGAAGTGCCAAGGTCTCTGGCTCTCCTGCCCTCCTGTCCCCCTCACTCCCTGCCCACCACTGGCCCCAATCCAGCCCACAAACCTTGAAATTCGCCGCTGGGAGAGACTCCTACCAGGATGATGTGAGGACCTGAGCCGGGTGTCACTATGCGAGTTCTGGGGGAATTCAGGCGGCGGCAGCTGGTCTCAATCTCCCCGCCTCTCAGACGGAGGCACGCAATGCAATAGCTGAGCTAGAGTATAAAATAGCTCAAGGGAAGAGGGTTGGCCTTGTTGCCAGGCAGGTGTCCATAACCTCTTCACAAGCCCTCATGTCAGGGCCTCATGGCCACCAGTGAGGCCACTCTACAGGCAGGCACACTCCAAGAGGAGGTGGCTTGTGCCTCTCAAAGCTTGGTGGGCAGAGAGGACCCTCCAGGCAGACTCCAGCCCACGTTCCAGACCTAAGAGACAGCAGGTAGGTCTTACCCAGGCCCAGTCGTGGAGGCAGATAGGCTCAGCCTGGTCCTGGCTCTGTCACCCACTGACGGTGCCCTCTCAGGGTCCGTTCCTTCATCTTGGGAACTAGATACACCAAGTCTCCCCTTGTCCTGCTGGAGAGAGCATGATATAAGGCTTGGAAAGTGCCTGCTGCATGGAGGGAACAGGGCAGGCACTCTTCAGTGTCAGTGGGGCCTCCCCACAGGGCTCTCTGGATAGAAATGGCAGGAGCCCATACCTTTGGGACTAGAGCTGAAGCCATGCATTTATTTGGAGGGCACTTCCGTAGCCTTTCTGTTGGCCAAGTATTGTTCCAATGGCTTTACGTACCTTTAATGCTCTTAATACTTATAAGTGAGTAAACTGAAACAGGGACAGGTTCAGCAATCTGTCCAAAGTCAAAGAGCTAGAGATTGGAGGAGCTGGGTTGTGAGCAAGGAGGCCCACCTTGTCTGTGATGGTACCCCCTGCCTGATGCTGCCTGTCCCACAGCCAGCCTGGGGGCTGAGGATTCACGGGAACTCTTGAGCAAGCCTCTGTCAAAGACACCATTCGGTACAGAAGACTGTATCTGACTGGCTCTGATGGCAGACGTCCTGCTGCAGGAGGGACCCTCAGCCACATTGCCCCCAAAGCAGGACCAATCAGGACCTCCCTGGGCCTGTTTCCTCATATGTGAAACTGGGGAGGAGGGAAGGTAGCAGTGAGGATCCAGGCTTTGCCCTCTTCCAGTATTGAAAGGGACAAATGGGGAGTGGGTTCGGAAGTACTTATCTGACCGAATGAAGCCCAGCCCCATACTCAGGGGTGTGGGATCCACACCCACATCAGACAGTCTGGGACAACTCTAGGTGCCTTCACCTCTCTGGGCATCAGCCTCCTCAAGCCTAAACCTGCCTTGCCAGGACATTAAGAGCATCAAAGGGAAGCATGTAGAAAAGATACCTGCACAGGGCTTGAACTCACAAACCATGAGATCATGGCCTGAGCCAACATCAAAAGTTAGACATTTAACTGACTGAGCCACCCAGGTGCACCAAAAATGATACAATTTTTAAAAATTAAGGGGCACCTGGGTGGCTCAGTCGGTTGGGCGTTCAATTTCAGCTCAGGTCATAATCTCATGGTTTGTGGGCTCGAGCCACATATTGGGCTCTGTAGTGACAGCTCTGAGCTTGGAGCCTACTTCGAATTCTGTGTGCGTCTCTCTCTGCCCTTCCCTTTCTCTCTCTCTCTCTCTCTCTCTCTCTCTCTGGGCTCTGTGGTGACAGCTCTGAGCTTGGAGCCTACTTCGAATTCTGTGTGCGTCTCTCTCTGCCCTTCCCTGTTCTCTCTCTCTCTCTCTTTCTCAAAACTAAAATAAACATTAAAAAAAAAATGAAGGGGTGCTTCAGTTGGTTAACTGTCCAGCTCTTGATTTCAGCTCGGATCATGATCTCATGGTTTGTGAGTTCAAGCCCTGCGTCAGGCAAGGTACTAAGAGTGAAGAGCCTGTTTGGGATTCTCTCTTTCCCTCTCTCTCTGACCCTCCTCCACTCTCCTTCTCTCAAGATAAATAAATAAACTCTCCAAAAATAAAAAACAAATTGTATCATTTTAAAAAAATAATTCTTCATTGTAGTACCATTGAAATATAATAAAGTAGACATAACAAATGTTACAACTTAAAGTATACAATATAGTTTATTTTGACTTCCATGAAACCACCACCCCAATCTAGACAGTAAAGATTTCTGTCATTTCCAAAAGTTTCCTCATGCCCTTTGGTAATGTATCCCTCCTGCCCCTCCTTGCCCACCCCCTTCCTTAAGCAGGGGGCACCCTGACCTCCTTGCTTTCCCTTTACATTAGTTTGTCTTTTCTAGAGGTTTTCTTTCTTAAGGTTATTTATTCTTTTGTAATCTTTACAACGTGGGGCTCAAACTCATGACCCTGAGATCAAGAGTCAGATGTTCTTCCAAATGAACCAGGCACCCCTACAGTTTTAGATATATGGAAGAATATGGGGTATACTCTTTTTTATATGACTTCTTTCACTCAGCATAATTATTTAGAGACTTCCATGTTCCTCTAAGTTGTTGAGTAGTATTTTATTAGAGCATGTACCACCATTCATTCACCTGTCAATGGACATGTGGGTTGTTTCCAGCTTTTAGCTCTAACAAATAAAGCTGCTATGAATATTCATGTGCAAGGTTTTGCATGAACATATATTTCCTTTTCTCTTGGGTAATGCTATCTCAGTGTGGTTTTCTTTTCTTATAATATAGATTGTCTGCCTGGTTTTGCTTATCAGGGTAATGCTGGTACACTACTCATAGAATGAGTTGAGAAGCTATTCCCTTCTCCTCTTTTTTAGGAAGAGTTTAAGAATTGATATTATTTCTTCCTTAAATATTTGGTAGAATTCTTCAGTGAAGGGACATGGGCCTAAAGGGTTTTTTTTGTTTGTTTGTTTGTTTGTTTGTTTGTTTTTTTGTAGAAGGTTTTCAGCTATAATATCAGTTTCCTATGAAAACACAACAATTCAAAATCTATGGGATGCGGCCAAGGCAGTCCTAAGAGGAAAGTACATTGCTCTCCAGGCCTATTTCAAGAGATTAGAAAAAGCACAAGTCCAAAATCTAACAGCTCACCTAAAGGAGCTAGAGGCAGAGCAACAAGAACGCCC